ATGAATACAATAAAACATAATAGTAATAATAGTGAATAATAATAAACATGGTATTTAATTTATTTAATTTATTGTTAGATTTAAACCTAAGTATTTTGTTTGAATAAATCACGTGACATAAAGAAGAAATCTATGTGATCAGCTATAACATAGTTTTATAATCAAACGTAACCGCGAAGTTGAAATATTTTAGGTTTTCCATTATGTGTTAACCATATGTTTGATATAATATAAATTATTGATTATGAAAACAAATATTATTTAATAAACCAAAATAGTGAAATCTGAATTGTAAATACTCTGGAAAACGTAATTCTGAATATTGTCTGATTTTGATCATAATATTATAATATAACTAGCTGAACTCGTGCACTTCGTAACCCGTTAAAAATCCTCCAATTTCATGTGTCTCAAACTATGTGTTAAATTTATTTTCTGTGATTATGCTAGTAGTATATTTTTATAAACATACATAGATGGATAAACGTTAAAATATATTAAGCAATAATCTTACAACGATATTCAATTTAGTATATTATTATGTAATTTTATTAGTTTTATCGAAAAAATTCAGACCATCCAAAGATTCAAGAATCAAATCAACTGTATGATATTTGGGCCAATCACTTTTTAACTTAGCCTATCTTCTGCGCATAGGTCATCTAATATTTCTCTATATCAAATTTCGTCACAATCGGCCCAGCAATTAGAATGCGAATAATTCATAAAGAACAAACAAACAGAAATCCATTTTTATATAATATATACAGTATATACACTATCTGACCCGACAGATAGTATTTCTAATGAATATATTAGTAGTCAAACCAAATATTCATTATTTTTTTAAAATTTATTGTACTTTTATTATCTTAATTAATTAATTTCAAATTGCATTTCTATCACAAATTACGAAAATTAAAAAAACAATAGCATGGTCTTGGTGGAAAAGAGTGTGCGATATCTTTAGTGAGTCCAATAGACATGAAAACTCGTATTATCGGATTGAATTTGTTCATCTGTTCTTTGTCTTCTTATAATTATTCATGTTTGTAGCTATACATTTGTTCTACGACAAAAATTGGCATTCTGGCGTTTTGCTGAAATTTTTAATTATACAAACAAATAAAATATATTAAAATTAAAAAATAATAATAATAAATAAATATTATTCTCAAATTCTGTAACCCATAAAAACCATTTATAAACAAAAATGTCTATTGTAAATCTAAAAATTCCTGTTTAAGCTCCTCTCTGGGACGATCAATTGCCTTTTTAAAATTAGCCTAAAACGTATTCTCAGACCTACCAAATATACACAGAAAATTTGATGAAAATCGGTCGAGCCGTTTCGGAGAGGTTCAAATAACTAATACTGTGCATTTTTATATATTGGATATTTGAAAAATGCAAAATATATTTTGACTATAAACATGATTACCATCAAACTCGAATCGATGAAAAAATACAATTCCACTCGATGGTAACAACTCTACACTATACGAAGTACAAAATATGATGTATTTACTATTTAGGTGCCTTAAAGATCCGCCAGGCGCAAAGTCTGCCGGTTGGATCCTTAAACCACGTTGCCACCGACGAAGCAACGAACCATTTACAAACCATTTACATTAACCAATACAAACACAGATAATGTTCTTACCTTTAAATTTTATAAGAGGCCAATTTACTTTAATTTTTAAGCTAACTGAGCTAAATRTGATCTGCTGAGCTTAAATTTGGTATGTTACGCACTTGTAAGACACAATCAACACATTCAGATATGGTGTATTGGCGTCTTCTTGAACAGCAAAAAAAAAAACTAACGCGACATCGCCGTCGTGATAATAATCATTAGACAATATCGAATAGGAATTTTACGATTGCATTTCGAAATATCATTTAGGTAGCCGTAATGTTTGTGTAATATGCTACGTGATCACATTATTCACATTATCGTTAAGATTACGGATCGGTTCATATTATTGGCAGCTGTCACGTTTTTGGGAACGAATCAAATATTTAAGTATAGTTTTCGATGATACACGACTGTGGACGATTCTTATTAGGGTGACTTTTTTAATAACACGATTGCGAACGATTATAGTTTAACTATGGGTCTCGAAAATTACATGGTTTATAAATAATTCTTCAATATTGTAGGGGTCTCCAACTCTGGGGAAATGCAAAAAAATCAAATACAAATCGTATTCAGGCTTTTCAAAATATTGAATTAAAAAAATTAATTAACTCGCCATCTTATGTTTCTAATCATATCCTTCACACAGACTTGAAAATCAAAACCATAAAAGAAGAAGCAGTAACTTATCATAAAAGATTCCATAATCGGCTTGCAACACATCCCAATCCTTTAATTAATAAGATCTTTCAGCAAATTTTATTCCGGGTAATCCTCTAAGGCCCTTAAAATGCAACTGGTATAGAAATATGCTAACCTAATATTATAATATAAAAAAAAATATATTATAATAATTATTATATAAAAAATTTATAACTTCAATTTATAAGTGTCATCACTGGGTGGCTGATTTTATCAAGCTTATTCATGTATTTTATTTATCTCAGCTAATACTCTTATTGTATCCATGAGGTACAGATTATGTATATAATAACAAAGGAAAAAAAAAGATAATGTGGGAATGTGGAAATTCTGAGCGTGTTTAAATTATTTTAATTAAATTAAATATTTAGAGCTATAATGATTATAAAAGTCACCAAAACGTATAACAATATTTAAAAACAATTAGTTGTCGTTACAAAGGAAAAAAAATGTTACATTTTTATTTTTAAATTTTAACTTTTTTACGTATTTTTTTTGTATTAATATTGTAGACTTTTATGAAGGTGTAGATACAGTAAGTGCTTTTAGTATTTTAATTTATAAATACATATAACACTTTAATTTTTAATTTTTAACTTTTTTTTATAATCATAATATTGTGGCTTTTATAGAAATACGACGCCATTGTCAATATATAATATTATCAATTATTATTATTTTTATTTTTATTTATATTATTATTATATACTTTAAGTAGATACGTAAATATATATCTTAAACCATGTTGTAGTCGAAGCTCACTAGACATCCAAACGATAGGCCAATCATTAAATTGATAATCGTTGTGCTCGATTGCTTCGAACAAATTAGTAACGTTTCACTAAATTTTGTCCGGAGTCGTGTTATTTTCTAGGTGAAAAATAATAACTTTTGTCATATAATGATCGTCCGCAACAGTGTTTCGCCGATGGTCTTATACCTAGTGATATCGATACGTATAAATGTGATTTGATGTAAATTTGCAGAGCGCTGTTTATTTTTAACTTACTTTGCCCACTTGAATCTGGGCAGGGTACCTACACTTTGTGGTCAGACAATCTAGTACAATTCCGGTCAATGTATGAAACATTTGAGAATTAAAATGATGATTCTTATACATTGCCCAAAATATTAAGGTATTGTAAAACAATGCTCAGGTTTTTTACTCTGCCAAATATATATGATTTCCGCACACATATATATATAAATTATAAATTATTATTATTTGCATGTTAAAACTATTAATGCCAAAATGACCACGTCAATACTGCCTCTCAATGATATAGTTTTGCGTAGTTTACTGGTCATAGGTCGCGGACGATTACTTTCCAGGGAGCCGAAACGTACTTACATCAATACGAACATAGATACAACTAACTTTTAGATACTTACTCGTATTATAATTAAACTATTTTCAAAGTCAACAATTTTTGTTTGCATTTCCTGTTATTACAGTTATTATGAATGCTGCATAATAATGATCAGTTGGAGACAATATATGCTATATAGCTTTACAAGAGCTATACAAGAATCAATACCTCTTCAATTTCTAACACAATATCCGTTAGGTATTATTATTGTATATTTATTATTTATGTGAAAACAATTAAAATACATCAAAGCCATGTACTTGGAATGAAAGAATGAAGAATAGGTACCTAATACTTTTCAGAAACCGTTATCGTATTACCTTAGTGGATATTCTTTTCTTACATTTGCCCAAGAATGTTGGCGCCAAAACTAATTGTTTGAGTTTGAATATCGCCTTGTTGTAGTATTATTGTTTGAATTTTAAATTTATATGTATCATTTGTTTAGTACGCTTGGTATGATAATGTACGTTTTTAATTAATTTATTTAATATTTCAAAAAGTTGAATGGCATCAAACAAATAATATAACTAAAATGTTTTACTGGATTAATATAACAATAACTTTGTATAAGTTATATTATTCAATAATAATGAGCAATAACTTTGTACAAATAGAATAATTATACGACGGTATTTGATGTAAATACATTTTAAAATATTATAATGAATAATTAGGTAGATAATTGAATTTTGTCATACATAGTACAGATATACAATGATCGATTAAGTAGGCAGTGATGTTTTGAATGAAATCGTTTGGGGCATAAATTATTTTTATGTGGATTGCTGGGGTAAAATATGAGGTATAACTGGTATAAGGAGTATATGCCTAACTACGGTTATAGCCATATAATTTAGTTTTGTGCAGTGGAAAACAAAATATCACTAAAATAACATTTTTTTAACACGATACAAAATATTTATGTGTTTATATAAGTAGCTATAATAGGTACCTCTATTAGGTTTAGTATAATCTATAAGTACGAAATTATTACATAATATTTTCAATGAATCAACATATTATTATTAATGAAAAAATTAAATGTAGGTACAATATTAACTCAATAGCAAAAAAATTATAAACTTGAGTTGTTGGTTGTAAAATATAAACGTAATTTAATCAATTAAAACATAATATTAGTAGGTATATAATATTAACAAATGTAGAAATTAAAAATAATATAAGTATAATAATAATTACTCTTATTTCTTAACACTACCACACGGGATTATATTACTTATAATAAATGTATTGTTAACAAATTTTAAATTTTAAATATTTTTTAGGGTTGTYTGGGAACTCAGAAACTCACTCGAAAATTGATACCATGTTTCAACCTTATCTGGAGTTGGTCCAATTCTAAAGAAACATCACAGAAAAATATTGTAGTTATAATATAATAATGGTTTTAAATTTCACTGTTATGTTTTTCAGCTTATCATTAGGTAGGTATATTTAATACATTTTTCAAAACCTTTAACCAATATATTATATATATATATATATATTTTTTTTAAGGAGTTGATTAGAACAAATGATACTTAGGTTGCTGGTATATTGTATACATTTTTTTTTTTAAATCTTTGAGAACTAAAATTTATGAGTAGAAAACACGTGTTGGAGCTGTCTTAACATTTCACAAACAAATTCATTGTCACATTAAAAAAACAAAAATATAATCTCTAGGTCTCTAGCAAAATTGTTGCAAAACACTATGTAGAAAGGCTTATAATTATACATCTTTAATACAGTGGCTAATACCTATAGGTAGTTTAATACTTATATGATTTATTTACATAAATTAATACTAACCATAGATATATTTCATGTATTATTTATCAGGATAATTATTGAAGCTCCGAAGTATTGAAAACAATTTATCTAAACAATTAAAAAATATAAATATTATTTGCATGTAATGAATATTTAAAAAAAAAACTTTAATTACAAAAATCCAGTGATAAGATCACATACCATTAAAAACTAGCGATAAAAAGTGTATATGAATCTTATGTAGGTATCTTATAAAAAGTTGTCACAGGGATATGCAATTAATTGTAAAGATATAGCTATTATAAAACGATTCTCTTGTTTACGATTTACTTCCAAGTTTAAATATACATGATAGTTATTTGTATAAATGGGTTCTTAAACCCTTCGAACCCTAAAATTTGAAAAGCTGATGTTCAAACAAAAACGTAGGACGTTGATTATGTTGCTACCTGATTATGATACTATTTTATTTTAAAGTTTGTGATGGTTACGTTTTAAGAAGTTTGAATAGTTTGGGAGAAAAACAAGTTCAATTTTATGAACATATAAGTTTAACCAAATTATGTAGTAGATAATGTTATTTATAATAACACATCGTATATTTTTTTTATAACCAACGTACTCAATACCCACTGTTTTTTTTTTCGTACTAGTTAATACGACGTTATAGTATAGTATAGTATAGTACCTAATGTAATACAGAATGTCAAAATATGGTAATTTTAATTTTTAAATACCTAGTTGTTTCTAATTGTTAAGTTGATCATTTCTAACAATGCTGAGCTTTGGCTGTTATTAAACAGTAATCATTTCCGTAAATTATTAATAGTTAATTATTTATTCAAGAGTTATCACAACACAACGAAATTACTTTTATAATTTATTTATTTAACGCATGACACGCAATTTACTACTCTAGAGTTGACTTTAAATATTAACAAATTAATACAGTAACAATAATATAATATAACACATTTTGTAGAATTGTCCACTTTAAAACACTTAAAAATTAAATGAAGAAATTAAAAGTTATACTTTTGGGCAATTATAAATTAAATCCATTTTATTTTACCCATAATAATTGTTAGTAAAATCAAACAATTCACATTTTTGATCAGTAAAATTAAACTTTAACTTTACCGATACTACTACTTGACCGGCTCAATAATAATAATTATCTTATTTTTTTAATTTCAAACCAAATTTTATAATAAAGATACATCTCCCATTTTAAGGCCGAAACGTTACAGGCTATAATTATTTGTATTTCTTAATATTTGATTTTTTTTTTTTTATATATCTAGTGTAGTGCAGATTATGATCTTAGGTACAATACGATATTATAAAGTTCAAATCTCAGTTTAATAAAGCGTTTAAGCTTCAAAGCGTAAAATTACATTTTCCTATTCACGCCGTTGGTGAATTTAATTTAATTTATTCAATTTTAATTTTATCGATTGTATTAAATATAATAATAATATAATACATATATGTAATACTATATAACATACATGTTATAAATTCAACTACATACAAATCGGTTGAATTAACATTTCAACTATTTATTTTTTTTTTGTAACCATTAACCATAAAATACATGAGAGGTGGTGGATTTAGTTGTTCACGGTAGTGAAGAAGGTCCTCCAAATCGTAGCTAAAGTATTTTTAATCGTCAATACGAATTGTGGCCAATTTCTTTTTATGGGTCCACAGTAATACTACAAATAAAAATACAAAATATAAAATAATATTATAATATATATACTATATTTATATATTTCTATGGAATATATATTTCTTAATTATTTTAAATTAAATTTTTCTTCTTATTTTCATACAGAATATTTATATATAGTTAAGTTAGAAAATAGAAATGTTGTTTTATTTATATTTAAATTTTATCATATTTTATATTCTGATTTCTGATTGGAGCAAAATAATGTATTGATTTTACAATAATGTGTATTTTTTTATCTGTCATATTCTTTTGAGACATTAAAAATGCTCTGATTTTTTACATTAGCATATTTTTTGTGAATCTATAGTTGGTACTTTGAGGAGTTAAAAGTAAGAAATTCAATTATATTATTACCTATATAATCAGTGATGTATTGTTAAAAAAAAATCTTGATTATTGTGTTATATACTACGTAATTAAGGCTTATAGGCTAATCTTAACAGGGGTAAGATCTTTATTATTAAGTTGAAAAATTATTTTCACTCATACCAAATGGCTAATTAATAAATATTATTTAACCTCTTAACATAAAAATGAAGTGCAAGTGTCAAGTATAGTTCGTACTTTTCAGAGGTCGATTTTGATATTTCTTGAAGTACCTAAGTACTTTTTCTAAAAAAAAATCATGAAATTTGTATATGCTTGTTAGTAGATGTACGCATAATATATTTACTTGACCAATTTGGAAATTGAAATTAATTTATGCTAAATAAATTTACTTTGAAATATTCAAACTTCATCATTTGTAAGATAGAAGTAATAATATAACAGATATTTTTTAGATGAGTAAAAGTTAATTATTATTTACAATGGAGGTTGTGGATTCAAAATTCAAAAAATAAAAATAATTTGATATCTTTTTTTTTTKAAAAACTCCCGGAACTTGGAAGTATATAAAGTCATATATTATGCTTCTTTAACATAACAGGTGTATTATGCGAATTTAACACATTTATTTTCGTTTTATTTATTTTTATTTTATTATCAAGTTCTTTTGATTATTTCATAATGTGGCACTGTTATAAACTTATTTGATTTTTTTTTTGTTAATTTGAAATTGTTATTTAGTTTTCTTCTAATCGTGTTATAGTATTTCTAATTAGTACTTGGATGTTTCTTTGTTTATTGTATAAGTTGTTCTGCAAATTATTTAAGTAAATATTTCTTAATTTCATATAGTTATCTTATTGTGTATTTTTTAGATTCTGAGCGGAGCGAGGRATGTATTGGTTTTACAATGATGTTTATTTATTTTTATTTTTTATTTTGTAAGCACTTTTGCTCCTACTAAACTTGCTCAAAAGTATCAAGTGTAGCATCTTTTCTGAAAGGTAATGTTTTTGAGCTGGTACTTTAGAGAGGTGATTTTTTTTTATAAGCATTTAAGTTTAAATTTTGACAACATACCTAAAAATTACGAATGTTCGCAAATTATTTTAAGCTAGATATTCATAAAAAATTTTCTTTTTAAATCYAAGATTTGGAAATTTTTAATAATCTATAATATATCCGAGACAGATAAACCGTCTTCGCTCAGAATCGTTTTTCGTATACAATRATATAATATCATTGGATTCAAATTTAATTCCATCCATTACAGTAGGTAACCTAGATAACACTTGTAACCTATACCTACTGTACAGCAGAGCGACATCCATGACTTACCAGCTTTTTTAAATATGTATTACAACGATATTTGCATGTGCATTGTACAACGTGTTATCTTTTAACTTTGAATTAAAATTCCTTACCTTCATCTATTAGTAGTTAGTAACAATAATATTATAAGTATGTTAGATTCATCTTAAAATTTTAAATATTAATCGGATCGTAATACTCGTTTATAAAACGTAGATATATTATACATCGACTGAAATTTGGATTATAATTTTTTTTCGTTAGTTGTCTTTGGGACGCAATTATGAATTATTTTAGCCTCGGGTTTCAACATTTTTGACAGTAACACTAATATATAGGAATGGCAGTGAATCACAGTTACTCTATATAACTATGATCAACGAACCGTGGTATTATTGAAGTAATAAGTACCTATTATACTGTTGTCTCTTATTTAATTTTGTTCGACAATAATATTAAAAAAAACATTATATTATCAAACATATTATATTGTAGTCTACTGCAAAAATTTCATAAATATATAAAATATAAAACAATACCAAGAGAAATGTATATGTAATTACTATAACTATCAGGTACCTGAGAGTACAAATTTAATCCTTATATTATTATATTTGTTTAACGAAACCATAATAATAGTATGTAATATTGCTCGAATGGAGACAACTATTTCATATTGACTATAAACTGTTTATGATAAAATCATTATTAGACATATTATCTTTTTCGATTATAAAGTAATTTATATATCTATTTTATATTTTAATAATGGAACATACCAATTATTAATTTTCATTGCTGAAAATTTATGTCGTACTGCTTTGTAAAATAATATTCGAAAATAAAAAGTAATCTTAGGTAATTAATGTTTGATTTTACTATTATCGTTTATATTATCGCTATTTTCTTCAACTCTACAGACCAGTGTTTTTATAAATTTCATTTGTTACTAAGAATTATATTATAAACCGTCCATCATTTACGACTTCAAGATTAACGACCGCTGATTAATTATGACCCGTGGCCTATCCATATATTATATTATTTGATAAGAGATAACTATATGATTTTTAGTATAATTTCGTGAGATCAGGACTTCCACGTGTTGATAATAATATGAAACATTTCATACAAACGTATATACGAATATCACTGTTTTTGAGAGTCGAATTTAAAATCGTAGAACCTTAATAAATATAATGCACAATAAACGA